CATTGCTGGCCATGTGTGAAATTATGGTGGCCATAATCTCCTTGAACCTTTCGCTTGAGAACAGATGTGGCTTGCCATCGGAGCCGATCAGATAAGAACATCTGAAATTCTTATGTGTTTAGGACATTTCTAGCTTGTGTTAAAGCTTACCTGGCAAGAATAATCTCACTGGCACCCTTGCAGTATACCCTGTAGCCAACATCTACACCGTTTTCGACTAGTCGAATTACGGTCATCATACATTTTCGGGAAGAGTTGAAAGTGTAGACCTAAAGGAACAGTTTTTTCTTCGAATGGTTTACCGTGAGAACTTGGAATTCCTTTGAAAACCTACTATAAAATAAGAGGGCCAGCTTTCTATTAAAAAAGGGGGAGAGCAAGGAGGTGAGACGAGCTATGTCTAACCGCACAAATAAACACTTTGCTTGGGGACGTGGAAGGGAAAGAAGATAGGGAAAAATATCCTTAGTTCCGAGAATTTATAATCCATAGCTCTTTACCAAGTTTTATTACTCCTCATAGTGTGATTAAAACTCTTGTGGTAAAACGTTCTCCATAAGAAAACATAGAATTTTGATTCTCTGTATGTGATCCATGTATACAAGAATATTTTTTACTGTCTCGCGGTTTCAAGAATTTTAAAATTCATAGGTTTGAGACTGTTTTGCAAGACCGTAAGTTGACAGGCATCTCCTCGCAGGAAGCTATGAAGGGATTGCTAATTATGGGTAAAGTGTCAATATGTCGAAAGACTCGATTTATGCGGACAACTGGCACGAGTTTGTAGTGTGAAAAGGTATGTGGCTTGTTGCAAACTAAAGCGCGGAATTCATCCGTTCAGCTATATAATGTCCTCTCCTCTAACTGTTTTAAGAACGCTTTACTTAAATATGTTATTTTTGGTCTCCCAAACTTCAAGCGTACCTTTTCAAATGATTCTTCTGGAAACTTCTTTCTGATAGTGGCATAGTCTCCGCCCAATCTCTGAACAAATCCCAGCAGGCCGCATTCGGTTTTGTTTCCAAGTTGTTGGACTTGTTCTCCGACTTTGGTCGGTTCAACTATCATTGAGTTGTATGCACTGAAAATAATCGATTATCGATTTTTTGTCCCACTTTGACCGTCTCACAAACCTGTTTACAGAAATGGCCTCAGCAATTAGGTGAGCTGTAT